TCTGCAGATCTCCCGGCTTTGGCCTTAGCCGCTCGCTGGGGACACAGTGGGAGCAGCAGGGAGCCTCCTGCTTCCCTGGATCCCGCAGCGCGGGCAGCCCGTGTCCATCCCCATGGAGCAGCAGCAGGAGCAGCGCACGCAGGGCGGCCCCGGGGAAGGAAAGGCAGCCCCGGGAGATTCCCGAGGCCGCACTGTCCACGCAGCATTCCCGCAAGTCCTGCAGTGTTTCTCCTTGCACAACGGTGGAAAATGGAGTTATAAATGCAAAGCTTGTTTTAAATTTACCAGCCGTGCACCTAAACACATTCAAAGAGGAACAGAATCAGCCAGTGGCTTGCCAACATCATCGAGTTAAAACACTCACCTCTGAATATATTGTCTGCCATAATGAGTCTCGTTAGGAGGAAAACCTGAAAGAAGAGAGAGATTTTAAGCACAATTTGCAAAAATCTGCCTGCTTTCTGTTCCAGGGGTAAGAAAGATGCTAGCCAACCCCTGGGCCTCCCCGCACCATAGCAGGGACAGCGCCGGGCCCTGCGGTGCCAAACGGGACACCGGGACACCGGGCACAGGCCCTGGGCACGGAAACGTTGTCCCCTGTGTCCCCTCAGCCTCTCCTCATAGGGCAGATGTTCCAGGCCCCTCATCATGCTCGTAGCCCTGCGCTGGACATTACCCATTTACACAAGGAAGGTAATAGCCCCTCAGCGCCAAGACACAAGGCTGTTCGGGCCGTCATGGCAAGCCGGGATAAAAGCAGAGCATCCCATGGGATGTGTGTGGAAATAAGGACAGCCGAGCGGAACAGCTCGCAGGGTCGCCGTGCTACAGCCGCACGCAGGGACACGGAGCGCGGGCTGCGCGTGTGCGTTCAGCGCGCTGAGCTGCAGCGCTCCCTCCAAAACAGCGCGGAGAGGAAGGAATGAAGGGCGGCTTTGGGAAACCCGCAGTGCCGGCAGGAATCAAGGAGAAGCCGGGACAGGAGGCGACGGGATGTTTCTGTGGGCAGAGGGCGGCCGGCGCCGCGGGGCTGAGCACGCAGAGCAGCAACTCTGCTTTTTCTGTGTTATTTGTAACCAGGGTGTCCGCCAGCGGACCCACGTTTTCCCTGATCTTCCTTTTGCTGTTAATATATTTGAAGAAATTTTTCTTGTTATTTTTAACATCCCTTGCAAGACTGCGTTCCAAACATGCCTTAGATTGCATATGTCATAAAACTAATCAACCAGAAATGATACACACAGTATCAAAACTAAGCATCTCAAAACAGGTCCCTGACCCAAACTGCTTACATACCATGAAAAGGTGGGTACAATTCTACTCAAAACCATCAAGATCTGTAATTAAGAAGTGCAGCTAAAAAAAGAAGAATCAAATTATGTTTTAGTTGCATCAGTATGACATATTTATCTGTCTGATAAATAAGTTTAAGTGAGAAGTTAATTTTTTCTGAAGCTTATTTTCTGATGCTTTTGATTCAATGTTAAGTTTGTCAGGTTAAAACAAATATTTTGGCCTTATTTATAAAGAAATAAGTTTTCTGTCTCCTGCATCTACAATACACATTTCATATTTTGATATTTTGAACATTTCTGTTTTGTGCTTAAAGAATTTTTCAAGTATTGCACAAAACTGCCTATGTCCCTTTTGATATTTTTTAATATTAACTGAAATCTGATAGTTAATGATGACTGTTCTTTCCACTCATTTCAATACTGTTATGTTCTGAGAAACAAGCAAGCACCGGTAACAAAATTCCAGTATATAGTTGTTAAAATATCTTCCAATAGAAACACAACTGCATCCCATGTTATTTAATTCTCTTAATCATTCTGAGAGCTATGTTCTGATCAAACATTGTTTTACTATTTGGTTAGCACATTAATTTTTTTTTTCTAAACAATAATTCATTCATTTCTATCTAATCTGTTATCAAGAAAGAAATAGTGTTGAGTTTCATTGAAAAAAAAAAAACTGTGTACCTTAATAATCTGCCATTAGCTTTTTTTCCTAAACAAAGAAATATAATTTCTTCCAGTTCAAATATTTTTATTTCAAGAAGAAATTAAATTCAGGTTACATGTTAACAAATGACTGAATAAATGCAAGTTTGACAGTTTACAATAGGGAACAAGAAATAGGTTCCACCATGGTAATGGGATTGAACAGTATAGCTTTAAACACTTAAGAACGAGATCTGAAAGATGAGACTGTCAGCCAGCTCTTTCAGTCATGCCCCTCTGAGAAGAGCTCTTCTTAAAAAGATTAAGAAATACCAGTAAACTGAGTAAGTTAAAACCTAGAGGTCACTCACTCTTACAAACATCTTTGAAGAGAAATGGAAGATGATACTATCTTGAAGAAGAGACAGATGACAAAAGTGGATTATTTTCTCAATCACCTCTTGTCATAATGCCCCAGCAATCTGATGTGCCACCAGTGCAACAGGGCAGACACAGCTTGCAGGTGAATGCCATAAAGGAGTCATCACCTGAAATGCAGCTCAAAAAAATGCTTTTCCAAGAATCAAAGAGCATTGCTAAAGACAATCCAATTGTCAGCAGAAAAGAACCTTACAGGATCATAAAGTTTCAGCTTTATAGATGAAGGTAGCATGAACCTCAGTACTCCAAACACAGGCGGATTGACACAGAGCAGAAAAGGATTTGAGTCACTGAAAACAAACACCAATTCTAGAAAGCATACAAAACCCTTCTGCTTGTTGCAGCTTTTGAAGAGATTACCTCTTAACATGTAATCACGAAGAGAAAACTTAGTCTGCAGCAAGGATGCAAGAGAACACAAGCAAGAGCCAAGGCAACAAAAGCCACCTAAGCTAGTCTCCAAGTTAATTTAGAAGTAAAGGATACCAGTTAGACAACAAATTGAAATGCAGTCTTGTAGAAGAGTGGGATGGAGTTTAGCTGTAAACATTGGATCTTATTTTTAAACTGATAATCTATTTAATCCTTCTTTAAGAAGAAAGAGAGTAAAAGCTGTAAAAGCACAAGAATAGTTAGTTTCTAATAAAACTAGAAATAATTCAGAAAGTTAGACGAAGATTTAAAAACATTATTTAAAAAATGACCAAGTTTCACTTCTATCTTTCCTTCTCCAAGTGGATATCTTAACAGAAATGTCTTCTGTTTTTTTTTCTAATTGAGGAGCACACTTGGGATGAAGAACAATTAGCTAACAGGATTAGAGACGCATGACTTCTATGGAAAATTTAGTAAGATTCAACTAAAGAGACTCGGTGGAAACATTTTCTCATCTAAAGGTACGTCATATATCAGCAGTCAGGTGCATTGGTCTAAAAAAAAAAAAAGCGTTTTACAGAATTTTAATTGCATTGCAGTGAAATAAATTCCATAAAATCTACTCATAAAATACCAACAAAACTGAAATTTATAGAATTCATTTAAATTTTATCTATTTTACCACCTTTTTCTGAAAGTCAAAATAACTGGACTAAAACTTAGGATTTATTTTGCATTTCACTTGCACCAGTCTAACTTAATTGCTGTACCACAGTTAAGATCTCAACGGCAATTCCCAGATCTGACATAAAATGGAGACTTCACCTGGTAAGTGACATTATTTGCAGCTTAGACATGTAGCAGCTTGCTTGTGCATTACCTGTATTCAGCAGTATTCAATTTAAACTATTCTGGCATCAGAGTCAAGAAGGGTTCCTTTTTTACAGGTTTGCAAATTGCCAATTTTTTCATCCCCAGAATGGATACAGTAAGTACTTCGCTGATGAAAATGAAATTCAGTAACGAAGAGATTTTTTTCCATTATTAAAAATGGGAATATAAATACTTTTTCCATAAAATACCTTGAGTAATAACTCTGAGAGAATAAAGGCAGCTCTGCCAACAAATTACACCTGGGCAAATAATCCTCATCTCATGGAACTACTTCAGAAAGAAAGTCTTGCTTATACCAGTTTTCAATAACTTTATACCTGCTGAAAAATTGACCTCCAATCTCCACCTACTATGCCAATATATGGGTAGAAATATCTTGGACACCATTACATCTAGAAGAAGCCAAAAGAAGAGCCCTGACAAAGCAATGCCTCTTATTTTGAGTCCAAGCAAACTGCTCCCTTTTCCATGCCTCCGTAACAGACACTGACTTGAATTTGAACGTGTTTAGCCATGAGATTTCAGCTAGGTTCTTCACAGCTTTATCAAAGGACAAGCAACAAGAGAATCTGTATGATAACCACCATGCAAACCGCCTGTGCATACACACAGATCTCCTTAAGAGATGGCAGCACTTGAGAAGAAGCCGCTTCCACATCTTCCAGTATGGAAGGTAACTACAAAAATGCAAATGCCAATGCAGATTAAATATACCTTCACAAGCGTCTTAGTTGTCTAAATTTCCTAGACCACTAACAGCACTCCCACACAGATCTCAGAAAGCCCTCCACACATCTTCCACCAGCTGCCAACCTAACTGATAATCAAAACAAAAAAGACACAGACCTGCAAGTGTGCTAAATGAACACCTTCCCTTGAAGTCCTGTAACTGAGACATGTAATCCAGTACACTATTGAGCTGTAAAAGAATGAGGTCTGATGTGTTTAGATAATATACATACAGAAGTTCAATCGCATAACAGGAGAAAAGTTTCTGAGCAACAGCAATTCAATCACATGTAATTAAGCTTTACTGTCAAAGCTCACCAAAAGGTTTTCACATGGTAGAGACCAAATATAGGGGGAAGGTCTGATGCTTTTGTAAATTTAAGTAGTTCTCAATCTGCAAAGAGTTCCTTCATTAGGAAATTAGATGCATTAATTCAACAAACCACAGCTCAACAAACCAACACTGTCAAATGATAAAATGAAAATGCCACTATTTAGAAAGTCCAGAGATCCTCTCTTATCCAGTCAGAAACCAAGCATATATTCAACGTACAAAAAAAAAAAAAAAAACACAACAACAACAAAAACAACAAAACAAAAACAATGAATTTAACTTACCTGCTTAGGAATACGGAAGAGAGAATTTTTGTAAAATATATCTTTAGCCTGACTCCATGTTCCATCGATGATTATCATCACAGATGGACTAGAAGGCATCAATGCAATTTCTTCCAAGTTAGTTGCTTCAGCTCCAGGATACAAAATTAGAGTATTGGGATTCCTGCAAACTGTTGCTAATTCAGGATACCTTCAATGCACACACAGAAAAAGATAGTAAAAATTAGTTGTTCCCTTGACAAATAAATATTTCCCAATATTCTAATCTACTAAATCCAGTTTACCTTATCAATTTTATTCATGTTTCCAAAAAACAGTCCATCACTCAGGCACCAAGCTCTTCTCAAAACTTCAGGTAAAACTCTTGGTTCTCCCATATCTCCTAACTTTTGGGGGAAGGGAGAGCACACCCACAGACGTAAGCAGTGAAAAGCTTAATGAATGACAATATTTTCCACTGCTTTAATCACTGGAGATAAAAGACATCCTCTAATGCCTGCTTGAAATTAAGATGTTTTGAAGTGTTTACAAAAAAATTAACATAAATATTCAATAACATTTTTGTCTTTTGGAACCTTAAATACAATAAGACTATCAGTAGACTTTTTGATCCACAAAAATTATATCATCTCAATTTGGTTTAAGTTGCTATTACTGTAGGTATGCCCTCGAAGTCCACATAATCTTCTCCTACATTCTCTTGGTCTGTACATTTAGCATGAAGTAGAAGAAATAGGTTTTTCTCTCTTAAGGGCTCGCATATTGAACAAGTTACCCTAAGAATCAGTGGTAAGCACAGATATTCAGATTATACCAGAATCAACCAAAAGTCACCCAGGCAAGTTAGTCAGCAAGGGAGAAACTGACAAAAAGGTGACCTTCTCATAACAACATATTGCTTGTTGTGAACCAATTCAAGTAATAACAATTCACAGTCTTCAAAACTGGATCAATTCAGGAAGGAGAAAATATGAAGCAAGGCCTGACTGAAGCACATGTGTCAGACTAAGAAATTAATTCTGCACAGTACTTCAGAGATTATAGAAAGTGACTGCTGAGGAAGAACAGTCTGGCTTTTTTGCATCCCGAGTTCGAATGGGAAGCCAGTACAGCTTAGTGATGCTCTGGCCTCCTCACCTCCTTTAAGACAGGTTTGTTAAGAGGGCCAAAAGTATTCCTGATCATTAAGTTCCATTAGTGATTAGCAATGCTCTTTACTTGATGTACTATCATCTTCAGAGTGTTTTCAAAGCAGTCGTGTGAAATAGAGCACATACATCATCACATATATTTAAAAACAGCTAGGGAACCAAAGCAGTACATTAATATACAAAAGGAACTAATGCATGGGGAAAAAAGAGTGCAGGCCATGGTACCTACATTACTTGCACTGTAGGCTTTGGTTTTGCTTGTTTTCTGAGACTTGAATTTAGTTTGTTACCAATTCACAGTGCAATAGGCCTCTTCCTGCTCGTGAACAACCATTATCAAGAACTTGCTTCCTTCCCCCAAACAGGTTTTATGTGAATCCTTTAGTTACATTCAATTACAATTGAATAAAAAGTGAGAAAGTCTCAGAGAGGCTAAGTTGATAAATAAATTGACAACACTGATAAATAAATATGGTTCTGTGAAGCAGCATTTGAAAGGCAAGTATGTAGCAGCAGCACGATAACAGCAAGAATAAACTTGCTTTGGATAGACATTGTAATACAGTACATTACTGTTCAAATACTGCTCTAGGGCAGGATATTCTCAACTAAAGCCAGATGTTTTAAAAGGAAACCATTATAGGGACCAATTGTGAAAAAATAGCCTTTTCGCTGCAATGCCAAAATACAGTTGTTGCTGCTCAGCAGCTTTGAAAACCTGATCCACACGCAAGAAATATTTTTTCTTTTTTTCATCCAAGCTTTGACTTGTGTGCTTAATCTTACTGCAACACAAAGTAATAGATTATGAATTAGATTTCATCTTCACATAATTTTAGCTCTAAAAGCAAGGGCATATAATCCTACAATAAAAACACATTAAGCAATGTCAATATTGATCTTTCCCCAAATACCACTAATTTATTCCATTGTTTAAGTACAAGAGTAATTCGAGACAAATAGTATGGCTCATTAAAAATACAGAAGACATTTTTATTAGGTTGATGTTTGTATTCTTGACAACTCATGAAATATTAAACATATGCCAGCTTTGAAACTCTCCTCAGAGCCACAGCAGTAGCTCCTCACTCAGTGCTTTGCCTATGCATTTGCTTTCCATTTCCACGACACAAAGATGGAGTGGAAAAACTCAGCACCAGACTTGCATATATGTGATACCCAGCCCATCCCCACACTGTCTAGAAGAATCCCACTGACCAGTCGCTAAGTCCATAGACTGGATCAGTGAATGAGGAAAGAGACCTTCCTAATCCAAGAAGGATATTCCTAAAAACACGACTTCTTAGAAAGACACCATCTTCAAGTCCAGCAAATTGCTAAAGTGCTTAGAGGAGAATTGGGAAAGTCTCATTACAGGCTTAACCTCCTGCTAAATAAACCACTCTACTGGGAGCTTGTCTTTTGAAGTAGGACAACTTTGGGGTTTTGTTATTTCAAACCGTTGTTATTTAAGTTTGGATAGATTTCAAAACAACTATTTCCTAATGCTGGCAAACGTGTCAAGGCCAATGACAGAGCTGGGCACACTGAGGAGCACAGCAGCCAGTGCAGCAGCAGCAGGAGAGCAAAGAGCAGCCTGGCTGCCAGACATTGCTAGAGACAGACTGAAGTCACAATTTACTCATACAGAGCTTGTCCCAGAACACTCCACCATGCTTTTATAGACTCTGCTGAGTCTAAAATATGTAAAAGGGACTTTTAATTTTGCCTAACATTTTAATCCATACTGCCAGCATGTTCATAGCAGACTCTTTGAAACAAGAAAATCTCAAGAGGACTTGTCCTATAGATCAGAATTTGACCTTTAAAAGATTTTACAACTCGGGAAAAAAAAAAAAAGGAAAGTTCCTGTATATGCAAAATAAATAAATATATAAGAATAAACACTTTCCTCAGAGTCTTGAGCCTTTAAAAGACCCTTAAAGAGCATGCTACAAACTCAAAACTGATATAAGAGCTCATTTTATACTGTAGGAACTGTACTTCAGTGTGCTGTTAATCTTAGTGGGATTTACAATTACTTCATTCTGGATACTCTTAAATGAAATGAAATAAAATCTAGTGAATCCCCAATGATGCTAAACATAAGCAATTCAATCATACATATGTATGAAGGAAGGAACATGTGGAGCTAACCTTCAACCCTAGATAAGATGACTGTAACTGAGTTTTTAATTCTTCATATGGTGCAAAGTGTTGAAAAGGCAGTTTAATTCTTTTGGAAATTTGACAATCAGGATCATAAAATAACAGATTTCAGCTGATGTAAGCTGAAAGAGCCTGATAACTAACATAGCTTTGATGTCCATAAAACATGATCTAGGTTTGCAAGCTAATATAAAACGAAGAATAGGCAATATAATGACAAAATACGATTTGAGAGATAATAAGAGACACTTCAGGGGAACTAACTTAAATTCACAGGTACTAGACATAAAAAAAAAAAAAGCAAGAATCACTCAAGGTTAGAGTCACATAAAAGAGGTGTTGCTTTCCTTCTCTGAAACCACAGGATAAAGCAAGATGCAGGTTGTCCTTTGTGTGTCTCCAAGTAACAGGTGAAGGCAAAAAAACCCCATCAAGACAAGCCTAAGAGACGTAAGCAGAAAGGGAACTGGAAAAGAAACCCAAGTCTTATTACTTCCACAATATAAAGCAACAGCACAAATTAAGATGATGAAATATAAGGGATTAAAGAGATCCCCCCCCCAAAGGAACACACAAGTTAGACCACAATCGCATCCTTCTGGGAAAATAATAAAAAAAAAGGTGTAGTGTGAAAATGACTACTAGTGTATTTATTGTGGGAAAGCAACATTTAGGAAAGTGACACGTGGAAATGAGACGCAGTACACAGAGGCAAAACACGTGAAGGCAACACAGTTTCACACAACACTTTCACAAGACATGTGGAAAAGGGCATGCCTGGAAAAGGGTGACCCTAACTCACGTGACACTGGACGCACGTTCCATCGTTCCCATGTGACTCATGTCCTCTCCACACATGCCCTTCCCGCACGACCAGCAACCCTTCCACATCACCCGTGTCGCCACCACGTGCGACCTTTCTGCACGACACATGTCCTCCCTGTGGGACACCAAAAGCACTGCAGAACAGACCTACGCCAAGCTTTGCAAAGAGCTGTAGAGTCACCACCTGAACTTGCAAGAACGCTACAGCTGAAGAGTGATTGAGCAGACTGGCTGCCTTCTAATTACCTGGCATGGTGAAGAAGGAACTGGCCATTCTTCATCCTGCCTGAAATACAGATGGCACTATGCCATACTGTGGCAGACTAGAAACAAGGGAGGAATTCACACCCTCATGAAACAAGTATTTTATAATAGCATCTTGCTAAAAACCAAGACATTGGAAGCTGCAAATTAGAAGAAAATCCATCAAGTGTTTCAGACTATACCAAGTTTATATCTACTGGAAGTGAGAAGTTTACGCCAAAAGAGAAAAGAGAATACGCATCATCAAAATAAAACCCAGCACTGACTGCTGTTAAAGAAACTGGAAGAAACATCTCATCAATATAGACAGAATCAGAAAATAGATATAGATATCAGCAGTCCCGCTCACCTGTCTTCACTAAAACGGCGACCAATCAAAACTTTACATTTGTCTGGAGGGAGACAAGCCGCTAGCAGAGGTACCGTTCTTAACACTCGGCTTTCCTGAAAAGAAAGGAAATGGTACTTCTGAATAAAAATCATAGATGGCGTTTATTAACTCTTAAAGTTTCCATTTACTTTCAAGTTTTTTGCTTACACCGACAAGAGAGCGATAAAAAAAAATGCAAGAAAGAATAGCTGATCCCAGTGTAATCGGTTCATGCTGTTGTGACCAGTGCTAAACTTAGTACGAGGTAATGATACTAGACTTAAGTCTCGTCCTAGGCTACCATTATCAGCATAAGTTAATTCAGTTAGGCCACCTGTATCAGAAAAGCAAAAACTTTAACAGATTAATATTAAAACCGGGCAAGAAAATAGACTTCTCATTAAAATAACAGATGAAGAGCTAGCCTCACTTATTTTCCAACATAAAGTAACTTCTCTGCCACTATAGATGAGACTTTCGCAAACAAGTGCTAAAAGCACTGGTATTGACAGCATATGATTATTTGTCTTTATTTCATAATGATCAAGTAACACTAATTCACTAGTCAGAAGACTTCCTTCTTCATAAGGATGTAAAGAGCGGCAATAAATGAGCTGAAAAAAAAATCAATTATTTAACTCTGCCGAGAAAAAAACAAAAGAACTATCATCATTCAAGAGAAAGTCATTCAACTGGTCTTTTCAATATCTTATCACTACTTATGAATTACATTTCTAGCACATAAATACATTCTGCTACCAAGAGGAAAAAGTCAGAATTTTCCAGAGGACTCTAACAAAAATATTTACAAGAAGATAAAAAAACAGAAAATTGAAAGAAGGAAGGACAAAAGCTGGAAAACAATTGTGACTAACTACATGTTCAAAACGTTTAATGTTTAGACTTTTCGTAATTAAAAGTTTTCATTTATTACAGCTTTTATTTAATTGATTATTTAGCCTATTTGTCAATACATGAGTGATTTTGCATTTGCTGGCATGACATTGGGCAGCTGCTCTCTTGTTTCTCCTCAGTCATCTCAAAGGGATTTGCAGTGCTTCACTATTTGAAGTACTATATACAGAATTAGAGGGCTGAAGGACTTTGGTTTTTGTTCTGTTTTTCTGGAAAAAAAAAAACAAAAAACCACTGTGGCTGGCACAGCATAATCCACCTACAATGAGCAGAACAGTTCTAACTACTCAAAATATTTATTCAAATCAGCATATTTCTCCCATCCCTTCTATTTTTTCCCCATGATTTTTAAGTTATTAGCAGAATATTTGCCTGATCCATACTGGTCAGTAATATACTGAGCAAGTAAAAAATAGCATAATATCAATATATAATTTAATTAACATATAATTAAATTTTCTCCACATGTTCAACACTGAAAATTATTTCAGATCTGGAAAGAGAAGAAAACAATAAACCTGAAAGGATGCTGTCCACTGTACTTCTGGGGTTCTGTCTTGAGCTATCAATCTTGAACTATCAACTAGGTTTTGAAAAGTACAGAATGGCCTACATTTTTATAGAGATCCCTCCAAAAGGCAAAAGGTAAAACAAATGTGTATAGGGGTTCGTACACCTAACTATGCCACAGACCTGACAGTCTGGCATATACACATTCAGAAAGAAAAAGAGTAGAAGTCATGCCAAGTAATAGCAGAAAACTCCTTCCCCTTCCCACTATTCCTTATGGCATCTACTGGACTTGTATCCACTTAGTTTTTAAATTGCTCTCACTGTGAATAATGGGGCACCAGTACTATTTAGAAAACAAATATTTTATCCTTTGACTTGTAATGCTGAATTCTCATCAAATTGCTTCACAAGTCAAAAAACAAAAAGTATAATCAATGTAAGGGCCTATTATGCAAAGATGGAAGGTGAACAGTTTCCCACTGTTGTACAAAAAGAGATTCCAATTTTTAACAATTTTCAAAAGTTCACCTGGCCGCCCTCTAGTGATATTAATTGAAGAGTACAGGAAACGCTGCTCCCAAATTCCTAAGAGTAGGCACTGTAATAGGTTATTGAGTTAACGTAATAGCCTTTTAGATAGTCCTTCAGAAGGAAATAGAAATGGAGAACACATTTTATGGAGAATTTGCCTATTTGTTCTAATATCTTCCATTGTGATTAGAAACTGTAAGCCAATACAATACCTAGTTTTAAGTTCTTTGGTACATTTTTAAATCTCTTTTTCCCCTCCTCCTCAGGAAATATTTTAAGCATATATACTTAAGCACTTTTGAGATCAGAAAAACAACAACAAAAAAACTTTTATTATTGAAGTGCATTGGAAAGTGCATTTCTGTTGCTAAGAAATTAATGTTTTGCTGTATAAGGACTGAATACTTCATGGCTTCTGCTTGCTTTTCCAGACACTTTTTCATCTACATGCTGCTGCAGCTTTCTCAAGGAACAACTTATGCTGTCTGCTAACTGAGCTATTGTGCAAAGTTGGTTAGTAAACAGCTAGACTGGAATGCTTCCAACTGGAAAGGAAGGTTTTCCAGCTTTCCCAGCTCCACATCTTTACTTGTGGGCCCAGCATCTCTGCAACTTTGTGTAACTGCGGTCCAGCTTTCCAGGTCCTTTCAATTCACCATGATAGCTGACTGTCAAGAGTCAAGAAAAGCAACTCTGCTATTAGTTAAACAAAAAAATGAGAGTTGATGAAATCTTCAAATCCATGAAAAAGGAGAGGAAATAAAAGGATACAGTAGATATATTAAGTCCTATACAGAATGCTTCACCTTCACCTTGAATCTTTCAACAGTGAAAGTCCCTTCAACAGGAGACAGTGCAGAGAAAGCTGCTGCTTTTGTGGTACACAATGTGCTCCTCTAATAAAATACTCACAAAATGCACCATATGAAATGCAGCTGGAGTCTTTGCTGCCTATATAATTAGGGCACCACTAAGAATAGTTCCTTAGTCCAAATATTTAACACAGCACTAGCAAGGAGAACTGCTGTATTTAAAACAGACTCCTCCTTAGATCCACTTGAAGCCTCCATGCCACACCATACTAAGAGTCAGGATTTAAATAGAATTATTCAGATGGTTCCGGAAGATCAGAAGTGAAGGACACAACAGTGGCTAAGTTTCAGAAATAAATTCAGTAATTCAGATGAACTGACAAAGGTTCTAGGTGACAACTGCCATAGGCTTACTCACCTCTGCTGGATGCTGAATTATATATAAGCAGGTGGAAACTTTTAGCGGATGCACTGGCAGGAATGGACACAAGCACACCTTCTGCGGACGGCTACATGGCATAGGGGAGAGGAAAGAAGATAAAAAAGTAATGACGAATAAATTCATTGCAAATACAGCCCATCCGAACGGCCACACTTGTAACTTCGCCCTTACAACACAGCATGCTAAACCAGCTGATATCATATTTTGTTTGCAAGATCACACATTTTTAAAAAACAAAAAAGTTCAAAAATTTCAAAATTTAAAACACTTTATTCAGATAAGCGTTTTGAAGGGAACACAATTTGAATGCCTTCTGCAGTATTCCTTCTAAAAACCTTTTACTCTCTTAAAGAAAAACAAGCCATCAGTAGCCGTACCCAGAGAAATCTGTTACTGCATTTCACAACAAGTTAGCGTGAAATGGCAATTGAACCAATACTTTAACAAGCGGGAAGTCCCAGACTTGCTCTATTTATGAGCAATTGTTTTAGTTAGTTAGTTAGTTTTTGTAACTCTAACTATGCTGATAGATAACATGGGATCACAAACAAGAAGCTATTTCTTTCAAACAAAAAAGCTATTTCAGGATTTTCTATTTTAAGTTTAATGATGAAAACACAAAATAGACACAGGTCTAGTCTTAGGTGCACCACACATTTCTTAAAATGAATAGTGGAAGAATAACATTTAAAAGTAGTTTGACAAATGACAATTAGGCTGGAAGATCACAGAATAAGTCAAAGAAAAAAAATAAAAATAAATTCACACAAAGAAGCTATTAAACCTACATGCATACATGTATTTCCTCCCAGAAATCACTATAGCTACTAGCATATTTTAATCAGAAACTGAAAAAAAAGATACATTTCCTTAATGCTGGTGCTATTACTAATGTTCACGATGTAAAATCATACTCTGCCTGCAAAGTTCTCTGGATTAAAAAAAGAGAGAACGTATTTTCAGCAGAATCCTAAGAACTCTGCATACAACTTTATCAACAGCCTTCTTGTAATCTTTACCAGCAACAGTCTGTAGAGAGTGATCACACTCAAGACAAGCACCACGGCAGTAAATGCCATTTACTGAGAGAGCATGGTAAGGTAGTCCCAGATGATGTGCACGACCAGGCCGTATGACCACACAGCAGCACTACATGATCTCATGGACACCCAGACCAGGACAACTCTTCCCTAGAGCACCTCAAAACAAAACAAGACTTCCTACCAGCACATGGCAGCACTGAAGACAGTAGACAAGGACTCAACACAACTTGTTGGCTATTGGACTCCATTACTTCTGGCCCTATCTACTGAGACAGAGGTTTGTTTTGAGATTACTCCTCTACTCAGTCCAGATAAAGCTACTTAACAGCCTAAATTCAAATTAGAGAGGCCAAGGCGCAGGGGAAGGAATTGGTACGGGTCAAAATAAGCACCGGAAGAAAAAATACAGAATTCAAAGATCAAGTAACAGAACTAATTTAAGATGGAAATTCGAATATACCTTTTTGATAAAATGTTCCCTTTCAGAGTTGTAGTGTATTTTCTTGTTGATATTCTGTATAATTCCAGAATATCCTGTTGTATTAATACACAGGCTAAGCCTAAATTTAAGCATTCAATTTCAGGAATTAGTGGGGTGTTCTGGTGACCTTTTCTTGCAAGTTCACTGAAAGCAACCTCATTCTGGATTTGATCAGCCTATACTTCTAAAGCTCTCCAGCACTTTATCATTGCATGTCTAGCAAAAAAAGTGTCTTTACAGGCAACTGATTTCAACAGAAGTTTCTGAAAGCAGTTTGTTAATAACCTGGAAGCAGCAAAAACTCCCAGAAGCTGTTACCTCTGCCTTGAAAATTAAATACAAGTTCACCATCTTTTTGATCAGCTTATTTATTGACAACTCAGTTTTATATTAAGTGTGATTCTCTGGCTTCTCATCATTATTAAGCAGTTACTCTCATTAGTAAGAAAAGCTGTTAACATTCTCACCATGATGACATTTTCTCCTGCAGAGAGATTACAACATTTAAACCTACTACATAAAACTATTTCAAAACAGTCAGCTGGTGACTTCACCCCAAAGAGCTGCATTGTTCACTAGCTTTTATAACCAGACAGAAACAGTTTCCAATGATTTCTGACTGCAGGGCATTTACTATAACAAAGTTGGCTAGAAATAATTTACTTATTTCAATTTCCCTTTTGTATATACTTTTTGCCTTTCCAGGAGTGGTTTATATTTTTCACAGGCAGCTTTTTTGAGCCCTGTTAAGCTTATAAAAATAAAGGAAAATACCCAGAAAGTAAGAAATTTTAAGTAATTACAGAATTAACCCTACCTATAATTTGATTTGTAGGGAACAGAGCACAACTCATTACAAACAGAGCACTTTCAATATAATTTAATTACTTACATATGTGTATATACATCATGTAACTTTAAGCACCCAATTAGATACCTAATTATGTTGAATATGTATTTTTACAATCTCATCCTGGGGGCACAAGGACTGACTTCAGTATTTTCATTTTGGTACCTAATGGTTATTGTGCTCCTGCAAGGAGAAAGTAAAAAAAAATAAAAAGGAACACATAACCACATATTTAAAACTTTACCCCTACATGAAACCTACAGTATCAGTCCACAAGAGCTGGGCAGAAAGCACTTCAGAACAAGAAAAGTTGTGTTCCACCACCACAAAAGTCATTTGTACTCTGAGAAAGGCCACCTAGGCAGAAAAGGCCTTTTGTATTTTGCTTTTGTTTCAAGTTTCTGGTGCACCTTTGCCCTCCACACTCAGCTGATGGTACAGAGGAGAAAGGGCAACAACAGAGAAGTTAATGATAAACATATTTCATTTCTGGAAATGTTAGTGATCTGCAGACTCCAGAAGGGATGAAGCTTCTGTTAAGTCAAAACTTTTCCAAAATAAGGATATAATCACAGGCAAGAACCGTAGTATTTGATATATTAATGGAAAACTTTAGGGTGTGTGAGGAATAAGGATTTGAAGGGGATGATTTCTGTAGCAGTATCCAGTTATATGTAATTTCCCTATAGCTCAAAGCTCTCTAACAGGTTTTTACCTGTTTTTCAGCACAGCATTTCCAGTTTAAACTTATTACAAAGCAACCTGCCACCCTGGTGGGAGCAAAAATTATTCTATGTCTAGCAGAAGTGCTACACATGCAAGAAGACCTCTATGCACAGAGATATGCCACAGTTTTCCCTTCACGTTTTTCACATTTAATTAGGATGTTGGCCATAACGTTTAGTGTATTTTCCCAGCAGAATAGGATCCAGATAAAGGATTGTGCCATGCTGTGGTGTCAGATTTAATGTGTCTTGTAGTTTCTGGGCAGAGGTATACTAAAAGTGAAGATGCAGCAGCTTGGAAAACAGCTGTCTAATTACAAAATTCTTTCCAAAGGCCTCTGTACAGATTTTCCCACAATACAGACCTCCTCGCTTGCAACAAGGTAAAAGTTAAGCCTGAAGTAACCCGCCTGAAAGGCTTTGCTAAGCGGGCACCATCCTGGGAATGCAAGTGCCCACTCTTACATCTATATTCAGAAAACTAAAGGGAATTCAAGCATTTTATCCCAGAGTAAGTGAAGAAAACTGCAACATTTTTGAGTTCAGCATCTTAAATTTTTCTAAAGAAAGATATCAGTAAGCTAAATGTGGCACAACATATGTTCTAGAAACAATACTTGCTAATATTAAAATAAGAAGGAAGCTGATTTTTGAACTACTATGAATTGTGATAGAATTTTCACGAAACATCTGCTTAACGTTAATTAGATTTCTCCAGTACTTAGGTCAAAGCACTAAGGGATCCAAGGCCAAAACTCACCTGAGAAGTCTGCAGAGAAAGGAAGTTATTGTGTTGTTTGTTTTATACTAGTATTTTAATATATGCTTTATATTCATACAAGTTCATTACCTATATATCCATGGAAACAATGTTCAGGAGTTGTAAAGATTCACTTGAGTTCTGCACAAAGGTTTTAAAGACATCAGCTCCTACATTTTATAAAATCTGGAACAAACCTTAGGTTTGATCATTTTATTGTAGAGAACTATCATTAAAAATCATTTTAAACTATATTCTGCAGCCCCCAACATTAACTGCTGCAGTTACATAAAAGCCTTAAAATTATGAGTGGCAAAGCAATAAAACTGCAGATTAAAGAACACAGATGAAACAGGGCACATGGGAGTAGAAGAAAAAATAATTCTGCGCCAACAAACCAAACCCACAGGCTCTAAGGTAAATGTTACCCTCAGGATGAGCCATTCGGTAAGAACGGCAGCTGAATGCCTGGTAGGGCTCAGAAAGTTAGATCAGATGTTAAGTGTTAGTAGGAAAGGAAGAACGAACTAAACGGAGAAGACACTTGTGTCACAGCACGAATCTCTGGCTTATCCGCACCTTGTCCCGAGCACAAGGAAAGGCCGCAGAAGCCAGTCCAAAACAAACAGAAGAAGGGAACTGCTCAGGCCACAGGCCGCAGGGGTCTTGCTGGTCAATGCTGCAGATGCAAGAACTTCACATAGGTTCAAGGGGAAAAAATAAAAAAAATAAAAAGGAATAAAAATCCACTGGATACACAAACATCACTGAATAAACAAAGACACATCTGGCTCGAAGTCCCCTGAGCTGCAACCAGTTGAAGAATGAGAAGCAGCAGCACATGTTTGCCCTATTCTTAACTCTTCCTTGGATAGATACTCTTGACTGGAATCTGTTTAAGCTTGGACATGGCATGCTGAACAAAATGGACCTCTGCTACACTCCAGTATGGCCATTTTTCCATTTTCAGTCATTTCAATGCAATTTAAAATGAATGTATAGAATGCCAGCAGTATTAGCTAGACAACAATATTAGCTAGACAATGCCAACAATATTAGCTAGAGACTACCTACAACTTTTCACTCCTTGTACTGCAGCTGTAAAATTTTGTTTTTATATACTTCCACGTTTCCCTACGCAAAAGCTTTGCCATTCTTTAGGACAGACTTTTGCAATGGGCAGGTCTTGGTTGCTATCTTAAAGACAA